TCCTCATCAAAATTGTAGTCAATTGTCAGCTCCTCTCCTTTTTTAATCCCTCTTTCAGCGAAAAATCCAAGTGCCACAAATCCTTCCAACTTCCCAACCAATTGCCATTTTTCTGTCCTCATATTGAAATTACAGGAGTAGTTAGCGTATTTTGCTGAATTCCCTGTTTCCGTAGCATCGATGTAGAATGGTCCGGCTTTGTAGACATATGGGAACTTCTTGTACTTCCGAGTCCTATTTTTATATTCCTCAGTGCTGATGACGTCTCCAGTGAAGGCGATAATGAATTTATCTTTTTTGATGTCCGTTGCAGCGAAAAATCCCAATCCAGGAGGATGGGCATTCCATGAAGTACATAGCATTGTCGCATATCTTGTAATAGCAGAATGAGGAGCATCTGAAATAAAACGTGTTATATCTCAAGAACTGATTTAGCTAGCAAAAAATTGCTAACTACTAAATTACTCAGCATAAAATTTTACACATTTTGTTAAATGACAAAACTTCAATAGCTCTAGTCTAAAAGGAGATAGAGCGTGTCTAAGTTGGAAGATGCAGACACTTCCGCGCACTTCATAGCGTGCGCGGTTTTTAAACATTTATTTCTCATCAACCAATTCAGCACGCAAAAAGTTGCCGGCTAAAAATTGCTCCGCATAAAATTCTACACATTTTATTAGTTGACAAAAAAGCGCTAGAATCAGAAGAGATAGAGCACTACAAAGTTGGAGGGTGCAGACTACCTAGTGCACACTGACTGCAGAGTGCATACTGTCTTGAGACCTTTATGTCTCATTAACCGATTCAGCTAGCTGAAAAATGTTAACTACAAAACTGTTAACCATAAAAATTTACATATCTAAGTAGTTAACAAAAATTTAGTAGCTTTGGCTAGAGCGGAGATAGAGCGTTAGAAAGTTAGAGAGTGCAGACACCACAGTGCAAATCATAGCGCGCACTAGCTTAAAACGCGTATATCTCGTAAACCAATCTAGTAAGCAAAAAATTATTTTATACAATATTACTCAGCATAACATTCTACAGATTTTATTAGTTGACAATTTTTGTATTGCTCTGGTACAAAAGAAAATAGAGCGTTGCGAAATTAGAGAGCGCAAACACCACAGTGCAAATCATACCGCGCACAATCTTTAAACGCGTATATCACAACAACTGTTTGAGCTAGAAAGAAGTTGCTAACTAAAAAATTGCGCAACATGAAATTCTAGAATATTTGATAATTAATCATTTTTTCATAGCTCTGGTTCAAAAGGAAATATAGTGTTACTAATTTTGTAGGTAGAGACATTACAGTGCAAATCATAACGCGCACTACCTTGAAACGCGTGTATCTCATCAACCAATTCAGCTAGCAAAAATTAGCTCATTACATCACTATTACTATACATAACTATTACTATACAAGGCAACAGTAATAACGGTACCTTCGTCTAAATGTTCCCAGTCTCAATTCCTCTGAAAGACCACAAAAGACAAAGCATGCCCTATTTCTCGGGGAATTTAGGTTTCGAGACGACCAGAGCTAACTATTCTTTGTCAATCAACTGACCCTTCCGCACATTGTTTGCAAACTTTGCATCCGATCTCAAGTGAGCTCGCCGCGACAGAATCAGTAAAAACTTGTTTTCCGTCATTTCCCACAAACTGACCTTCTTCATTATTCCAAATCAGGCGGGGAGCATAACGGTGGCGAGTGACCGGTAGCCAACCTTGCGAAGTGGATGCTGAAACAAAATGTGATCTTTCATGAATTCCCTGACAATTTTCTGTTTGTTTTCTATTTCCTTATCTTCCAGGATAGACATATTTTTCCTGATACCGTCCTGAAAAAATGAGAACCACGCGTACCGAGATAGTAGGGAGATGAGAAACTATTGAGCTTTAGGAAACGATGGAAATTCGCCCGATGTGTTTCCTGGGCCACTTCTACATACTGTCCTGGAAAACACATCATGCTCATGCTACGCTACTTCTGTCGCAATGGATGGAGATCTACCAGATGAGCTTTAGGTGGTTCAGCTTCTGTCTCACTGCATAACTCTGACGTATATTCAAATCCCTCCCTTACACCACAGAGATTTTCATCCTTTCGCATTTTCCTCAAACTGACCATTTTTCGCTAAGTGGGTCTCATTTATATTTCACTGTCTCACTCTAACCTACAGTCTATCGTCCCCTACACAAAAGTTAAAAAATATGCGCCTCTCCTCCTATTGATTCACATACCCATGGATTTGTTTGTGTCTTTTTTTGTTTTGCAGGAAAGCAGAGTCTAAAGAAAGTTCATACAATTAAATGCACAGTGATTTTGTAACGGTTTTGGGGAAACAGAGAATGAACTCCAAATTAAGAAAATTCAGAAATGTTTTCAATGATTTAAAAAATCTCACCTTTTTAAAAACCCGTAGAGATGTAAATAGAATAGTATACAATAAGAGAATAACCAGAAAAATCAAAAAGGAGTTGAAAACTCCTAAAAAAGGTGAGACGTCTATTCTGTCAAGTCGTCTATGGAAAGAATGAATATGCGTCGAACGCACAGGGTCGACCCGACCGCCCCATTGCCTGCTTCTTTCGGCCTCTTCTATGTTCACACTCTCTCAGTTTTGCCACCTGCTGGGTCATGCCGTGTATGTGTACAATACGCCCATATTTCTCACTTTCCCATCTAATAACACGTCATGATGACCTTGGGAAGGGTCATATATGCCATAACCTCTAGAAAAGTGTTCATCCAGTTGACGAATAGGAACACTTTGCTTTTTATGACAGAGAGCCATGAGGAAAGGGGTTTAGTGAAGATTAGAATAGGAGGCTTACAAGTTAGTGAAGAAATTGAGAGGGAGTTCTTCCTAAAGTTAATTTTTGATTGAAATTTGAAAGTGGTGAGGAACCATGGCCAGGTATATTCGGAACGAAACTCGGATATTCGATTTTCACTAGTTTTGTCGTTTTTGTGATGGAAAAGTGGAATTTTTTCTTCAAAATAAGAATTTCAACAATTTTCCAAATTTTGAATTTCTCCAAATCGGAAATTCTGAAATTCCGTAATTTAGAATTTTTCCAAATTGCGAATTCTGAGAGTCCGCAATTTCCAAAGTTTTCAAAATCGGAATATTCAGAAGTTTCGAAATTCTCATAATCGGTATTCTAGGGAAAAAAGGAGAACCCAATCTAAACATCCTTGACCATAGCGGTGTTCTTCCGACCAGAAGCTGACCACGTAAATGGTCAAACGTTGGTGGGATCTAATGCCGAATTAGCGTTCAAAATTTGGACGTCCACATCCTCAATGGATTTCGCAGCGGTAAATCTAAAAACGCGTTGTCCAAAGAAACGGGCTGGCCAAAGCGGGAAAATGTGCAATTTGAAAAGGTTAATGACACATCAAACATGACTCATTTGACACGTCTTAGTGTCTTCGAGTTTTCATGACTCTTTCCAAGTTGAACATTTTGGCAATACTTCTAAATATTTTATTTTGTCTTTCATTCACAAAAAGACCTATAAAAGATAAAATCTCCGTACAAAATTGTGAAATCACAAGATTCAGAAAAAAGTGCATTCTCACTTATGCGAAGATCCCAAAGGTTGCATCGAGATACAAACGTAAAATAAAGAAGTAGAATATATTCATCAGGACTAATAGAGGTAAAATTTTGAGAAAAAATACGGATTGGGGGATTATTGAAGGTTCTGGAGCATTAGTACCATCATCGGATCTATGATTTCCTGAACTTTGAAAAGGAGACCAGATACATCGATCTGAAAATAATTAACTATTTTTATTATCGATGACAAGCACACTCACCAAAAATCCTGCTGCTGGCTTTGCTTCTTCACGAATCTGAGCATTTTGATTCTTGATGATGTCTACGTCGCTGGGTCATTGGCTGAAAAAATTGAAGAGATTAAAATGCAGTTTTTATGTAAAATGTACTCACCTGTGCCCACAATTCTTTCTCAATTGCAATTCGTTTCTCGCCAGCTTTGCTCAAAAACTGCGAAACGTTTTGGTTGTCACTGGCACTCGTAGTCTTTTTCATAAAGCGTTGAAAGTTGAAGACAAACGTGCTGGAAGAGAGGAGTATGGGCAGTTTTTTGAAATACTCGGGCTCGCTTAGAAAATCCAACCAGCTCACTATATCTCTCGTTTCTTCTTTTGAGCTCTTATGATGATCGGTTTTCTCGTATATGATGATCCTTCCAGCCTGGAAAGTAAGAGAAGTTCTTTAGCAAACACTGACGGATTACTAACTCCAGTTCCGAATAATTCGGGAGCGCCAAATCTGCTCTTTGAAGCAAAGTGACCATTGCGAGAAGATACACTTGGTCATCTTCAAGAAACTTCGGCAAAAAATCATTAAATTTCTTTCTGATCAAACCGATAGTTTGTTTATCGAAATGCACCAACGTTTGGAAAGCTTCCAACTCAGTTTTTAAATTGGAATTGGCTTCCTATCTAATGGTTTTGGAAACAACGAAGTTTATCAGTTTTGCATCAAAACTCGAATCCCATTTGACCAGGATATATGCTTAGAAAAAAATATTTTCTGTTGGAGTTTCCCGGGATTCCGACACATGTTTTCTGACTGATAATGGTGCAAGTGGCTTCTGAGCAGCGTACAACTTTGAATCCTTTTCTACAAAAAAAACATGGCATATTTCACAAGGACTTTTCAAACACATCAGAATGACTCTTGCTTAACTGGAATATCTTCCGGGTTTTTGTATTTTTTTTCGTTTTATATGCTGAACGAATTTCTAACATGGAATGACTCCCAAGTGAAAAAAATAATCGAGACATATATGGTTGAATAGAGCGTAAAAAGTTATCCTAGAATCCAAGTGCAATGGGTAAACATTTTTTTGGAGTTATGGCCCAAAAGTACCAAAAAAGCCTATTTTTTCAAAAAATCGTAACTTTGTCAGTTCAAGTGTCAGAATCTCAGAATCTCAGAATCTCAGAATCTCAGAATCTCAGAATCTCAGAATCTCAGAATCTCAGAATCTCAGAATCTCAGAATCTCAGAATCTCAGAATCTCAGAATCTCAGAATCTCAGAATCTCAGAATCTCAGAATCTCAGAATCTCAGAATCTCAGAATCTCAGAATCTCAGAATCTCAGAATCTCAGAATCTCAGAATCTCAGAATCTCAGAATCTCAGAATCTCAGAATCTCAGAATCTCAGAATCTCAGAATCTCAGAATCTCAGAATCTCAGAATCTCAGAATCTCAGAATCTCAGAATCTCAGAATCTCAGAATCTCAGAATCTCAGAATCTCAGAATCTCAGAATCTCAGACTCTCAGAATCTCAGAATCTCAGAATCTCAGAATCTCAGAATCTCAGAATCTCAGAATCTCAGAATCTCAGAATCTCAGAATCTCAGAATCTCAGAATCTCAGAATCTCAGAATCTCAGAATCTCAGAATCTCAGAATCTCAGAATCTCAGAATCTCAGAATCTCAGAATCTCTATGAAGATGAAGCGGAATACTTCGATGTGGACGCGTATCTGGAAATGCTAAACAACGAAGAAAAAGCCGAAGAAGAACTCCAGGATCAGTAGTCTCATCTCAAGGATCATCATCTCCCCGTCGAAGAAGATCCAATCTTCTATGCTGAGGAACTGGCTAAAAGGATTTCGACGAAAGCATTGGAGGCCAAAGAAAAGAAGCCGTGGAAGACCACCGAAGTAGCATCTCGTGGATCCAGTTTTTCATTTTTCGCTAATATTCAATTTACTCCAAAACTAAAGTTATTTCCATACATGTGGATGGCCGGGCCGTCTCTTATTTTTGTTGTTCTCTGGAGTCTGTGACTCTTTTCGTTCTCTTGTGGCTGGGTAGTCCCCCTTTTCTTTTGTAGCTTTCTGATTGCCTTTGCCACTTGCTTTTCTACATATTCAAGTTAGACTATTGGTCTGCGAAAAGTTTGACAGGAACATTATTTTTTTGAAAAATTCAAAAATAGGTTCTATCTGTTTTCACTGATTGAGGTCAATTCAAAATATTTGAAAAATATGGTCTTAAAATTAAAGAATTTACTTCAAAAATGCAAAAAATAAATATGAAAAACGTAAATGAACTTCAACTTGTTGTTGAGATCCTGCTTCCTTTTTCCTCAACGACAAGCTCCTCCAGCATCATTTTTTAATACTGGTTACAGTTTAAAACAATTCAATAAAGGAAAGAAATCAGCTGTGAATCAGCGCCAGAAGAGTGCGTTTCAACACAGTGGGAGAATGGGAATAAGAAAACTCAAGAATAGATATTCGAAATCAATGAATCAAAAGGGATAGCAAGTAATGATCTAGGGAGAAGTTGATAAGAATGCAAAGTAGGGAAATAACACGGGCAAAAAAACAATATTTCAAATTTCCAGACAAAAAAGAAATATAATTAATGAGCAGGTTCCTTCTTGATCTTGTAAAGCGTTTGCGGGAGGATCCATCGTTTCGCCTCTTGGAACTTCTGCAACTCCTTCACTTTAGCACATTTGCGGGACCATTCGCTTTTGTGGTTGACTTGGTTCCACACTTCGTCTGAAAATTAGTAGCTTTTAACATGTCAAAACACTTCTAACTTTGAGCTCAATTATATCGATTCCTGAAAAAGATTTTGAAAAATTGTCAACTAACAAAATATGTTTGCTACTACATATGATAAACATTTTATCAGTTGACAATTATTTCGTATCTATGAACCGAGATAATTGAGCCCGAAGTTGACGGTTTGGGGACTTCGTTATTTTTAATTTACTTGGATTCACGCGGGAATGTGGGTTGGAATGGCGGAACATAATTTTGAACAAATCCATGTTTTTTGTCGCCTTCTTCACAGTTTGCGGGAATCGAGCCTGGGTGTTGTCCGGATTGAAGAGGAATAATCTCAAATCTGAAAAAATTAAACTGCTTTATTTTTTCCTTAAAATCTCCCTTACCAACTGCTTCCACAGTCTCGAATCTTCCATTCCAGTTCTTCCAATTCTCTACAGCTGTCTTGAAGTCGTTCTCCTCATCTCGAATTGGATTGTGGTGGCGCTTCACGATGAGCTCCTTGTTGTCGATGACGCTGTCGACAATATCCTCCAAGGTTGGGGCATCTTCGGAGGAGATCGGACCCTTTCTTGCCTCTTAAATTCACAAAATTCGTAATTCAAACTTAACAATTTTGATTCAAACTCACCCAGGTCCTTGATCCGTTTGACAAGGACAATTTCAAAATCATTGGCCTCTCGCAGATTCTTCAATTCGTTATTTTCTTCTTCCGATTTCTTGGACACTTCTGAAATTAGATTTGCTCAAATAGAAGTATTTGCAGTATCTTTATTTTTTGGTTTTCAAGTCGCTTGTTCTACCATAAATTCTACCCACCCAATAATTGCCCTTTGAGCTAAATTATCTCGGGTCCTTTAAAAGATATAAAAAATCTGCCAACTGATGGATTATTCATCACAATATCACCAATGTTTCATCAGTTAACACAATTTTGTGATCTCTCATAGGAACCGAGATAATTGAACTCAAAGATTGCACTAGCTCACATACAGTAATTTCACTTACTATTCAATCGCAATTTCATATCTTCGAAAGCTTGATTTTTCTGATCGCCTCCAACGCTTCGGCCAACGTCCTTGGGGAAGAGTTGGTCACCACTCGGGCAAATTCCAAACTCTGTGACCAATTCTTCTGCGCCCAGTTCCACCTCCACTCCATCAACGAATCACTGCTCCATCTGCCAATTATCCAACAATTGCAGGTTCTCGTAGAAGGCCTCTTCTTCTTCTCGTCAAGCTTTTTTCACATTCGAATTTGTAAAAAGACAGATGAAGCAAGATTAAGAACAAAACCATGATTGTGTCTAGTGTTTTACAGAAAGATATGCGTGAATTCGTTCATTTAGAAAAAAGTTGGAAACGAAAATATGAGATTTGGGGCTAAAAAACCAATTTTTAACATTTTTCACATTCGAATTTGTAAAAAGACAGATAAAGCAAAATTAAGAACAAAACTATGATTGTGTCTAGTGTTTTACAGAAAGATATGCGTGAATTCGTTCATTTAGAAAAAAGTTGGAAACGAAAATATGAGATTTGGGGCTAAAAAACCAACTTTTCCGCTATGCTGGGAACTATGCTCAAAGCCATGACCCAGAAATGGAATATATTAGTAATTTGCCATATGGAATCGTTCTCACTCATCTTATCACTTTCGATGGTTCGAAAAATTTCAGAATCTTCAGCGGACTAAGCAGGGCTAAAACCTGAAAAAGTCAATCAATATTTTATACATACTATTTTGCTTTCTGCTCAAAATTATAGGCTTAGGCTAAAACGCCTTACAGTCTAAGATCCCATGTACCCTCAGAACCAATGTACCCTAAGAACTCGATGTACCCTCGATGTACCCTTTTTCGATGTACCCTTGGACAGTGGGCCCCGTCAGGTTTTAGCCCTACACCATTATTCCCCCTTTTTCTGTTCTTGCTGGTATTTCCCCTTTGATTGTCTTTTACCGTTTGTCTTGGCCCCATCCTTTTCTCTCTAATAAATTGGTCAATGATACTTTGTGTACTGTTTTGTATTTGCACCGCTTATCTCACACACTTTCAGGTTTTTAGGGCGCGCAGCAGGCGCGCGAACACTTTCGGATTAGGACATAGGATCGGTCTCGACTGACTGAGAATCTGCTGTCAACATGGTGCATCGACGGACGGTCCGTGGAATGTTCGAGTTCCAAAGTTTTGATTTTCTAAAAAATGGGCCTAAATTCAAGAACCCAGTCGAATCCGAGAGCTGTTTGCGTGTCTGCGCTTGCCCCACCTCCCTGTTGTGTTGAGACCCTATTTTATCGATTTTCTCTTCTCGCTCCGCTTCTTTCTTGCTAATATCTAATTACGGACCCAATTTTTAACCGTAGAAAGTCTTAAAATTCGATCGATCGATGAATGAAGCCGAAAAGTCCCAAAAATCTCGAAAAGAGTGCTGAAAAGTCATCTGAAGCCACTATTCATGTATTCTCTCTATTACAATGGATTATTCCTCGCTTTTCATCAGGATTTCCAGTCAAAATCGTCAAAAACCAGAAAGAGATCAAAGCGTACGAACTGTAGCTCCAGCAGAGCGGATGCACTTTTAGTGAGTGGAATATTTGAAATTTGACAGAAAAAAGAGCGTGACGTCGCTACAGAATCGCTGTCAATATAGAATAGTTGTCACACCGAAACCGAACCGTGTCAGTCCGATGGATCCCGATCCAGCGCCGATGTCCAATAATAGCAGAAGACCGAGGAGTCAAAAAAGCCGAAGTAACTCAAAAAGCACATCGTCACGTATCCATCGAGCCAAATTGATAACTAATTATCGATTTTTCGTTACTTATCAAAATTCCCTCCAAAAAATGTCGAATTTCAGAATAATAAAAATATTGTTGTCAAATCAAGTGTTCTTAAAAGCTTCTCTGTTGAGTGAAGGCGTCAAACCTTCTGATTTTCTTCAGATTCTACGTGGACGTTGGTGCGAGAATTCGTCGAGTTGAGCTCCAGCGCTGTCGTCGGTGGCAAGACGATACAAAATATATAACTGATCAGGAGGAAGAAGCAACGGAAGACATAAGCATAGATAAGATTCTAGAAGCTAGTGAACGCTGACGGGTAGTGATACACCTAGGCGATCCAGAAGAAGAAGAAGTCACCCCTAAGAGTAAAAGGTCGGCATTCTTTTCAGATGTATCTAATCGAGCAGCTCCAAACGACGACAGCAATAGCTTTATCGAGACATACCTTTACGATGAGAATTTATAGAGATAGGCTGTGATAAAAAAATCGAGTATAATTGAGGGTAAATGACAGTCCCAGATCCACCTATTGTCTAGTATCTCCCACAACAAGATCGTGAGGAGATGAGTGCCCAAAGCAGTGAACAAATGAGCAATAGAAAATCAATACAGCAACGATAATCTCACAGATCGGAACGTTAGAAGCTTTAGATAGAAGGAAATGGATTTGAAATAGGGAATCAAACAAAAATTCTGACGCTGTGATAATTATGACGCTCCGAGAAAATTCGAGAGCCCGACTTTATATCTTCATCGTTGTTAGCTCATTGTTAGCTTACTGTTTGGATTGTTGCTCAATAATTTTCCAAGTAAATGGGTCACTGTTATTTCTTCATCTACAGTAATTACTAGAAATGTAAACTAAAATCAAATTTCAGATTTCAGATTTCAGATTTCAGATTTCAGATTTCAGATTTCAGATTTCAGATTTCAGATTTCAGATTTCAGATTTCAGATTTCAGATTGTTTAATATGTTGAAATTCTAAAATTTTGAAGTTCTGAAATTCTGAAAATCTAAAATTTGTGATAATGCATTCTTACAGATATCATTTTTCACTTGACAAACACATACTTGTCTGGAGGTTGTTGCACATCTGAGCCGTCCCAACCAAGGTCATCATGACGTATTGTTAAATCGGCAGGTGAGAGAGGTGATCGTATGGTGGACAGCCACACACACACATATGCATCATGACTCAACAGATGGCGAAACTTAGAGACTGTGAAAAATACACGAGACCCAGAGAAACAAAGTCGACTCTATGCGTTTGACGCGCCTAGCTGTCCATCTCCTCCCGGATGAATCATGAAGTGACCAAAGACACGGTCTGGTACCACGCTCTCATTTTCTGAGTAATGAACACACGATAGTCAAGGTCATCAAGGGATGGTCCCTGATGATCAGAGTATTAAGTGAATTAGGTGGCGGGGGAGTTTTAAGGGGGGGGGGGGACTAACAAAGAAGACCATGAAAAACAAAACCGGTTTCTCTCCGAATAAGCTTTCAGGATTTCATATTTTCAGAATTTCAGAATTTCAAAACTTCAGAATCTCAAAACTTCAGAATTTCATAATTTCGGAATTTAATTTCAGAATTCAGATTTGCGAAACTTCAAAATTTCGGAGTTTCAGAATTTCAGAATTTCAGAATTTCAGAAATTCAGAGTTTCAGGAATTCGAAATTTTAAAAATTCGGAATTTCAAAATTTCAGAGTTTATGGAAATCTGAATTTATGGAAATCCGAAATTATGGAATTCTGAATACCGGTATTTTAGAATTGAAATACCGGTATTTTAGAATTGAAATACCGGTATTTTAGAACTGAAGTACCGGTATTTTAGAATTGAAATACCGGTACTTTAGAATTGAAAAACCGGTATTTTAATTCTAAATAACCGGTATTCAGAATTCCATAATTTCGGATTTCCATAAATTCCGATTTCCATAAATTCTGGAATTTTTCAATTCCGTTTTTTTTTAATTCGAATTCCTGAAACTCTGAATTTCTGAAATTCTGAAATTTTGAAACTCCGAAATTTTGAAGTTTCGCAAATCTGAATTCTGAAATTAAATTCCGAAATTATGAAATTCTGAAGTTTTGAGATTCTGAAGTTTTGAAATTCTGAAATTCTGAAAATATGAAATCCTGAAAGCTTATTCGGAGAGAAACCGGTTTTGTTTTTCATGGTCTTCTTTGTTAGTCCCCCCCCCCTTTAAAACTCCCCCGCCACCTAATTCACTTAATACTCTGATCATCAGGGACCATCCCTTGATGACCTTGACTATCGTGTGTTCATTACTCAGAAAATGAGAGCGTGGTACCAGACCGTGTCTTTGGTCACTTCATGATTCATCCGGGAGGAGATGGACAGACTTCTAATAGTGAGCAAACAATTGTTTTATTATGAGACAGAAAAACAGTCAGAGTTTCATATGTACATGGAAAATTTGTATGGCAGTAGAGATAGAAACATGTGAATACTAACGGGATAGGTATGAAGTTGGACCGGTAAATTTTAGAGAGGATGTTTTGAAAATTGATCGGTAGATATTTGGGACGTATTACCGGCGAAATTATAATCATGTTACATATCCATTTGAAAAGTTAAACTTGGCAGGGAAAATGAGACGACCGCCGTTGTTCGGATCTTCTCGAACGTTCTGTGGAAACTTCTGGAGCAAGTTGATCTTTATCAGTGGATCCTTGTCACATCTGCTGTTCGCGTAACCAGTGATCAGAATGACTTCTGAAAACTAACGTACAGTACCGGTCAATAAGATATACAAAAACGTTTTTTTTTCGATGATTTTGTACATTTTCAAAAGTCTACAGCTCGGCTGTTCAGTCACTTCGAAAATTTACACTTCGAAAATTTTGAAGGCTTCGAAAATTCACTTTGAAAATTTTGAAGGATATAAAACAGGCCTAGATTGAACACTTTGCAATTACAACATTTTTCAAAAATTACAACATTTTTCTGCTACTTGCCGCCTTCTAAAGGACACCTGCCTTTTCCACGCCTTCAATGCAAAAGCAGGATATGATATGAAAATAATGCAAAAAATATTACCTTTGGTCTCTGACATCTCCATCATTTCCTCGGCAATCTTGTTCACATATCGAACAGCACCTCCTATGAGAAATCCATGAAGATCGATGACCCAAAGATGAGGGAGCAAAGTGAAAAATAAATTCACTGATTGATTTTATCCTCCAGTGCCTTTTTCTCCTTCACATCTGACACATCGCTTTTTCGTTGCTGCTAGAAAAACAAGAATTCAAATAAAGAAACGAAGCTTCAGATTTTCAGAATTTCAGAATTTCAGAACTTCAGAATTTTAGAATTTCAACATATTAAATAATCGAATTTCAACATATTAAATAATTTTAGAATTTCAAAATGTTAAAAAATCTAACATGAAGCTTTTCGATCTCCTCAAACATCATTAAATCGTTCTTTATGCACAATTAGTCTTGGTGACACTTTTCTGATTTATTAGGAATTTTCGTTAGAACCAGGTCTCTCTAATTACAGAATTTGGGACACGGACGGACTGATTTTTGAGAACAATAAATCCTGGAGATTGAAATTTAGAGTCTGGCATTCTGGGAATTTTTTTTGTATTAAGGATAAAGAGATTTTGGGCAAAAGAAGTTTTTCTTTTTTCGTATCAGAAAAAAACTGGAATCAAAATTAAGAGAGGACTAAAAAAGTTCAAAGGAAAGTAAGAATGTTCTAAACTCTAATAAATGGTTTGAGAATTGTAAAAATCAAAAGCGACATGTAAATAACTTATAAAAATTTAAAATTTCAGAATTTCAGAATTTCAGAATTTCAGAATTTCAGAATTTCAGAATTTCAGAATTTCAGAATTTCAGAATTTCAGAATTTCAGAATTTCAGAATTTCAGAATTTCAGAATTTCAGAATTTCAGAATTTCAGAATTTCAGAATTTCAGAATTTCAGAATTTCAGAATTTCAGAATTTCAGAATTTCAGAACTTCAGAATTTCAGAATTTTAAAATTTCAGAATTTCAGAGATTCAGATTTTCAGCATTTTAGAATACCAGAAGTTCAAAATTTCAGAACTTCAGAATTTCAGAATTTTAGAATTTCAACATATTAAATAATCTGAAATCTTAAATCTTAAATCTGAAATCTGAAATTTGAAATTTGAAATCTGAAATCTGAAATCTGAAATCTGAAATCTGAAATCTGAAATCTGAAACCTGAAATCTGAAATCTGAAATCTGAAGTCTGAAATCTGAAATCTGAAGTCTGAAATCTGAAATCTGAAATCTGAAATCTGAAATCTGAAATCTGAAATCTGAAATCTGAAATCTGAAATCTGAAATCTGAAATTTGAAATCTGAAATCTGAAATCTGAAATCTGAAATCTGAAATCTGAAATCTGAAATCTGAAATTTGGAAAACAAGAAACCGAAACAAAAGTTTTCATATTTATTGAGGTAGTGCGATAAACATAAAAAGTTTCGGAAAAGAGGAATTTAACTTTATGCACCGTCTGTGCCGAAATCCATCCCTTTTCAAACTGCTCCTTCTCCAGCTTCTTCACTCTGGCGCACCGTTCACTCCAAATTTTCCTCTCGTGTTGAGTCACGTTTTGCCAAACTTCGGCTGGAAAATAACATTTTTTATAGATAACAAAAAAGACTTACCTAGACTCATGTGGAAGTTCGGTTGCGAATCTTGTGCATGATCTTGAACAGATCCATGTTCCGCGCAGCTTTTCTCATCTGAAAGTTTAAATTATAGCTTCAACAGAACTAAACCATTGTTAGTGAGATCATTGTTTTTAGTTTTTTTTTTTCAAACTGACCTTTTTGATGATTCCAGTCTAGACGTGGAACATTCGATTGTCCAGCATTTGTCCAGCAAAACTGCTTATTTTGCATCAAATCTCAAATGACGAAAAATTGCTATATACATACACTCTGGCAGGAACAGTCATAAAGCCTAAATCAAATCCACTACTTTTCAGTCCGAAGATCAGATTTTCAAATCAAAATCATATAAATTTCGAAAAAAATCTTACCTTTATAAAAAACATTCATTGTTGCGATTATTGCGAAATACTATACACTTCTAGTAGATATAATAATTAAGAAAAAGAGAATATTCAGCAAAATTAAAAAAGAGCTCTCCCAAATCCATTCATTTCAAGGATTTTGGGAGAACCTCCAAAAAAGACGTCTATTCAATTAAGTCGTCGTAGGAAAGAGTGAGACTAGCTATGCCGATGGCAGCGGGGCGAATTGATTGTCCAGTTGTCTCTGTCTCTGTGTCTCTTTCATCTTTCCCACTCTCTTACCTATGCCATCTTTTCTGTCATGACGCATATGGGTCTGTGGTTGTTCACTCCACAATACCGACGAGATGGAACATTTTACCATACATATACAAACCAAACAAATGTAAAACTGAAAAGATACTTGAAAAGTTCAATTGCGATTACTTCAAAATAAAACAACTCGGTTTTTGGATTAATGACTCCCAAGTGTTACCCTCGAAAAAAATCGAGACCTATATGGTTGAATAGCGTAAAAAGTTATCTCAGAATCCGAACGGAATAGATGATAAAAAAATTTTTATAAGGCGTTACGGACCTTAACGTACCAAAAAATGGCTAGATTTTCAAAAATTCATAACTTTGTCAGTTTATGTGCGTTTGTTGAAATTCAAAAAAAAACATTGAATAGATAATCAACTGATGTCTTGAAAAAATGTTTATTGATTTTTTCCTATCGATTGGATTATTGATTTTTTTTAAATTAAAAAAATTTTCAATATCTCAAAAATCCCAAGTTACCTTTTTTTCATTATGACCATTGAATTTAGCACATTTGATTCACTTTAGAAACATGTCAGTACCCCACGGAAATTATGTTCACACGAGTTATGGCAAAAAATATTGATTTTTGGCACTAGGCCACTTTGAATTCGTTGTCCTCAGCGGCCGGTATGGTGAGGGGCATACTTGTTTTTGTGATTTTTACATACGTACCAATTGCCTGATCTGTTTAAAACACAATTTAGTAACATATAATGTTCAAATTTTCAAATACCGTACCATTTCTTGAATACACCACTTTGAAAAAGTCAAAATTTTGACATGTAATCAAGCATATTTATTCTATGTTCACACTCTCTCCGTTTCACCATCTGCTTTAGCATGACATGTATGTGTGTGTGGTTGTCCATAATACCATATGCTCTCCTCTCTCTACCTTCCATCTAACAATAAATCATGAAATTCGAAAGTGGTGAGGCGCCTTGGCTATGTTCAACTTTCAACTAAAAGCGGATTCCAAAAATGAATGGAATTTGGTGTAATCTTGGTCTGAATTTAGAACCAGTTTTCTGAAAATAAGTTTTCGAGTCGGGAGTTTCAGCTCGATTGGACGAAAAGTTTCAGCTTCGGCCAAATTTTCAATATCAGGGCCTGGTTTTCAGCTTAGTCTGTCAGTCTGTCAGATCAGATTCCAAAAGCGTTTCAAACAACAGAGAAGGGTTTATAAATTTCTCGCATCCATGCAATGGTCTTTTTCCCCCTCAAAATTCCAAAATGGTATGAAAAACTGTGAAATATATTCAAAATCGTCCAATCGAGCTGAAACTCCCGACTCCAAAACTTATTTTTGGAAAACTCGTTCTAAATTCAGACCAGGATTACACCATCTTTAAAGTAGGTGTCATGGACCCCCCCCCTCCTCGAGGAGACTATCTCTCTCTTGTCTTTCCACGTGGAATATGTCCTCAGGCTTACATTTTTCAAAAAAGTTGTCAATAACTGAATTAAAGCTCTAGTTTTGCTTTGTGTATTCTGCAAATTTCAGAATGATTATACACAATAAGTCTACTACTGTAGAGGTTTTGAAAACTATATTTAACGAAACGAAATACTGTGAGCACTCTAACCACCCGACCCTCCTTACTTTTAACATTGAGCCAGTGTATCTCATTTTCTGTGAGAGATATCAAAAAGTTGTCAACTGATAAAATGTTGTTGATATTATGGTAAACAGTTTATCTGTTGACAACTCATTGTTATCTAACATAGGAACGGAGATAAATTGGCTCAAAGGGGCGTCATGGACCCTCCCACCTCCTCAAGGAGACTATCTCTCTCTTGTCTCTTTCACGTGGAATATGTCCTCAGGCTTACATTTTTCTAAAAAGTTGTCAATATCTAAATTAAAGCTCTAGTTTTGTTTTGTATATTCTGCAAATTTCAGAATGATTATACACAATAAGTTTACTACTGTAGAGGTTTTCAAAGCTATACTTTAACGAAACGAAATACTGTGAGCACTCTAACCACCCGACCCTCCTTACTTTCAACATTGAGCAGGTGTATCTCATTTTCTGTGTTTATCAGTTGACAACTGATTGCTATCTGTAATAAGAACGGAGATAAATTTGGTTAGAGTGGGCGTAACCCCCCCCCCCCCCCCCCCCTAGAGTCTTTTAAGTTAAAACATCAAAACTCTATTTAGCGTCTCTCACCTCTTTTACCGTAAACTTCTTGTTTTTTTTAATTCATAAGTTTGGTTCCTATAAGAAACATCGAAAATTCGTCAACTGATAAAATAATTTATGCCGATCGGTGGCTATCGAAAATAGAAATAATAAGTTTATTCTGATTCTAGAACTGGGGAATATATAGTGAATCTTATTCAGTGACAATGTGATATAAAAGTTCATCTAGTGAAAGTGATCAATTTAGTTCCTATCTCATTTCTTTTATGCTGCTTCCTGATCCAGCTTCTCATCCTCCATTTGCGCCGCTCCTTCTCTCGGTTGACACTCGATATTTGGTCGTTCATGACATATTTCTTAAACATCAGAAAAATTTTATTGGTTTACATATTTTTATATTTTTTATAGGAACCGAGATAATTGAGCTCAAAATACAAGAATCTCGAGATTTTAGAATTTCTCACCTTGACAGCTTCTTCGGATATTGAAGACTCCAATCCCGACGTTGATCCTTCATTTTCAACATTCTCAACGTCATCGTGGTAGACGACTTTGATCTCCAATCCTCCTTGCTTGGCGGACAGCAGCATCCCGCAGGTTCTTTGCAGTGTGGGCGTGGCTTAGTTGGAATTTTGATCGGATCCTATTCAGCCGACGACATCCAAGTTTCTTCTTGACGAAGATGATCTTCTTAACGAGGATGTTCACCATAGCTGACTGGTTTTCTTCTCCATTTATATCCATTTTTGTGAAGTGACTGACAAGAAGAGGAATAACTGAAAATTTGAGTTTATGTTTAAAATGAACTTTCCGGAATTTCAGAAATTTAAGGAATTTTAGAATTTTTAGGAATTCCCGAATTTCGAAATGCCGGAATTTCAGAATTTCGGAATTTCAGAATTTCAGAATTTCAGAATTTCAGAATTTCAGAATTTCAGAATTTCAGAATTTCAGAATTTTATATCAGAGTTTGTTTAGTTATTTTTCAATTATCTAGGTTTTTTCATATCTAAATCAGTTATCAAAAAGTTAAAATAGTTTTGAAAATCTGTTCTTATGTCTGTTTTTTAGTCAAACAATCAAAATTTCAAACAAAAAAATTTCGGAATTTCAGCATTAAAAAATTTCAGAATTTCCTAATTTCGTAAATTTTCCTAATTTCAAAAAAAAGCCAATTTTTTGAAAATCTTACTTTCCAGAAAATTTCTTAATTTTTTTGGTCCAAAAATCAAGAATTCAAACCAACTATTGAAAGAAAAATCTCACCTTTATCAAAAAATCCATCAAGATATGAATAAAATAGTAAAAAATGAGAGAATACTTAGGAAAATCAAGAAGGAGTTCTCCAAAATCCATTCATTTGGAGGATTTTTGGAGAACTCCCAAAAAAGACGTCTATTCAGTAAAGTCGTCTAAGAAAAGAATGGCGCTAGGCGTGTCAAACGCATAGAGTCGAATTTGTTTCTCTGGGTCTTGTTTATTTTTTACACTCTCTAAGCTTCGCCATCTGTTGAGTCATGATGCAAACGGCTGTGTGGTTGTCCACCACGTCATACGCTCATATTTTTCACTTTTCCATCTATCAATGAGTCATGATGACATTTGTTGGGAAAGCTCATAAACGTCATAACCGCTAGACAAATGTTTAGCCATTTGACGAGAAGGAAAATTTAGCTCTATCTGAGAACTAATGCCCCTGAGAAAACGGGTATTAAAGGTTGTCAGAATTTAAAGCTCTTCAAAAAGAGCTACTCGGTCGAAACCGCCAAACGACAATTGAACAATACTTCGAACTTGTCAAGTCTTGTCTTGTAGAGACGATGTTTTTAGTAAAAATTTTACCTGAGCTCCACTTGTAGACGGCTGAGTGGCTTCAAAAATTCACAACACATGGCAATGCTGGAGACATCAACGGTGCTCCGAGAGCTAGTGCTGGTAATGGTTCCTGGAAAATGAAAAGTTTGGGCCAATTTCTATAGAAAAAACTTTTGCTCTTGCCCAAAATTGATAACAATAATGCCAAGAATGCACTTAAAAGGCCAGCTTCAAAAAAAGGAAAAACGGAAATCTTTAAAATTTCGAAAATTTCAGGGGGTCTCAAACTTATTGGACGCCTGAAAAAGTGACTTTTTGGTGGTACGCAGGAACCAAAAATGATGGGACACCCAAAATTTGGTGCCTTGGGTTTTTTCGTTTTTGGAATCGAACTGCATTCACAGATTTATGATAACTTCTTTAGTTTCAGCCAGATGGCCAAAATATAGGGGTCCTAAACTTATTGGAGGTACTGTATTAACATTCACCAAATTCTGTGCGTGAGTGAGTGTCTCCGTTTGTTCCCGGTTAGCGTAAGCTCGCGAAGTCCCCAGTAGACCTGTCGGATTCTCATCCGGTCATTCTCCGGATTATCTTTCAATGCCGCACAATTCTCTTTAAAATTGCCTTGGACCTGCACGCGCAAGCGCGCCCTAGCGCACATGCAGCGGGAAATTCCCTTTTTGCTGGTTTCTTTGGGCGATTGCTCGTCATTCCTTTTGAGTGGCCGGTTCACGAGTAGGTGACCGTGTCAATTAGCTTATTAGGTTTTGTTTTTGTTTTTTGATTCCTTTTCTAAGGTGCAGGTTCATGAGCAGGTGACTGTGCGAAAGTTCTAGGTTTCTTTAGTTGTCTTTCTGACTCCGGGACTCAGCTTTTGTTTCTTTACCGTCTTTTGCCTTGTTTTTGAGCGAATAAAGCGTAGTTTATTCTCAAATCGGGTTCGTTTCTCGTTTCTCTCTTTTTATACAGGTTTCGAAAGAGTCGTGAAGCAGGCAGTCCCCAGCCGAGCGAACTCTTTTTGAATTTGACTTGGGGGCCGAACCAAACAGCCAATCGTTGGATTTTCTGAGCTCACAGCGATCCTGTGGTGCGAAGAAAGATGACCGATCGTCACTCGAAGCCGAGCGATCCCTGTGCTAAGAGTATCACCGCCGGAGACGTCATGCTCGAAGCCAATAAAGAAACCTAGAAATTTCGTACAGTCATGCTCATGAACCTGCACCTCAGAACAGGAATCAAAGAGCAAAAACGAAACTTAATAAGCTAATTGACACGGTCACCTGCTCGTGAACCGGCCACTCAAAAGGAATGACGAGCAATCGTCCAAAGAAATCAGCAAAAAGGAAATAGCCCGCTGCCTGTGCGCTAGGGCGCGCTTGCGCGTGCAGGTCGGAGGCAATTCCAAAGAGAATCAAGCGGCTTTGAAAGATAATCCGGATAATAACCGGATGAGAATCCCACAGGTCTGCTGGGGACTTCGCTAGCTTACCCTAACCGGGAACAAAATCGTTATTTTACCCCTCCAGGTGTAGAAATGGCTGGGGAAAAATTACAGGTGAGGAGTCTTTAATAAAATCTTCAATAAAAGCCCCCCCCCCCCTCAAACCTTTAACTTTGAGCTCAATTATCTCGAAACTTGTGAAAGATATCAAAAGTGTGTCAACTGATGAATTGTTGCTGATATTCTGATAAACAGTTTCAAAAAATGAAGGAAATGAAAAAAAAACGGAAATAAGAACCCAAATAGTTGATAAATGTCTTCCGTTTAGTTTTAGAAATCAAGCAAGCGTTTTTTTTTCGGAAAATCTGGAAGTCAGTTTTTTTAATACTTTTGTAGTCGGATGTTTCATTTTCCGAGCAAACTTTATTAACAAGATAAAACAACGCAATTAAGTTCTGGGAATGAGATTTGAACACAAACACATACATATAAAAGATAAGTATCAGTTGAAAATGGAACAAATTGGTGGACACAATTATCAATTACCAGTGAACTTTTTGGTGCAACTGGTTCGTTGGAACCGAATGAATCCAGCTTTCAATTGGACCATGAACTCCTCGAAAACAATTTCTTCCTTTTATTCCACAACTTCCTAGCGTCCTCATCAAGCAATTTCCACTCGAGTTCTAAAATCCTCATTTTGTTCAAAACTGTTTTTTCGCTTGTTTATGCTTAAACTCACTAGCATTTCTCGAGCTGATCGCACATCTTTCCTGCCTCCAAGCACAAAATAGATCCATATCATTGCAGGCTCTGAACGGGACTTCCTGTGGCATCGCCCGATTGGGAACCAACGGATGGAATAAGTTCAAGGAGGTCAGGTTGGCTGAAACTAGATTTTGTTTCAGAGGTTTTAAAGACTAGGTTACCCAAGAAAATGTCATTCTGGACTGGTGAGCTCTGATGGTGTTTTATTGCTTCTTCATGACGCTGCTCGCACTTCGCGGTCCCTGGTAGAAAAGCTGGCTTTGGGGTAAGCTTCGCTTTTTGGCGATTTCTTTTGTCAAGAAGCAATCTCTTGATATGCTCAGAGGAACGTTGCGCAGGACCTTCTATAAATTGAAATTCTAGAAATTTTCAGATGAAAAATTACTGTAAAACCTGTAAAAGAAGGGCCTTCGAAGTTTAGACTTTGAGCCAATTTTTCTCGGCTCCTGTAAAAGATATACGAAAGTTGTCCACTGATAAAATGCTTATAATAACATTAGAAGTTGTTAGTGGACGCATGTTTGATAGCTTGCACACAAATTGAGATAATTGGGCTCAAACTCGATAGTGTAAAGGCCCTTCTATATATCACAAGTTTCACAGTAACTCACTTTGAATATTCTTGTTGCCACCAGCAGAAACACCAACGAAAGTTGAAGATGACGACGGTGTTGTAGAAGAAGAATATGCTGATCCCTCATCCTCTGTGAGATTCTCGTTGGGTTGGTTCCAGAGATGAGAGAAGAGCAACCAGGAAGGGAGCATGTCTGGAAATTTTTTCTTCAAGCTCGAAGGTTGCATTTTTCTTACTGTTGGTATGGGGTCCAGCAGGAACTTGTGGCGCTAAGCCGACAGCTGGAATTCCTCTAATACGCTGTTGATCCTTGGTGCCAGGAGAAATACCGATAGATTTTCTGTAATTAATTCCCTACATAAGGTCTCACCATTGCTGAGGAGTCCAGCAGCAAGTTCTGGCTCTGAGCAGGTGGCTCAAACAGAGCCAAATTTTTTTGTCTGTACAAATTTATGAATTTTGAATTAATTAGATCCATTTTCTCCGAAAACGTTTTGTCCTTTTGCTCAACCTGCGCAGGTCATATATTATGAATATTGTGCTAGTTCATAGAAGGAACATATTCTGCCAGCAACTTCAAATTGTAAGAAAAATTGAGTGGAAACTTCGAGTACCGCGTTTTTAAGATTGACAACTGAAAATTAATATGATCTACTGGATGAGATCGAGGTAGTTCCGCTTCTGTTTCACTGTCTCATACTAACATAAAGTTTATCTCCTACGTCAACACATTAAAACTACGCACCTCTCATCCTATCGATTTACATACACTTCTGGATTTTGTGTGTATGTGCGCTTTTGTAGATTTATAGATAGCAGACTCCAAAAATATAAAGTTCAGAAAATTCGATGCACCGTGATTTTGGAGCAGTTTTGGTGAAACAGAGAATGGGCTCCGAAATTTCAAAAAATTATTTCAAATATTCAAAAAAAAATCTTACCTTTATCAACAAGAAAATACAACGAGATGTAAATATAGTAGTATATAATTAGAGAATATACAGAAAAATCAAAAAGGAGTTTTTCAAAATCCATTTATTTGAAGGATTTTTGGAAAACTCCAAAGGAGGTTAGACGTCTATTCAGTCAAGACGTCGAAGGGAAGAATGAGGGAAAGTGCGTCGAACGCATAGGGTCTACTCGATCGTCATATTGTCTCTGGGTTTCTTTAATGTTCACACTCCCTACGTTTCGCCCATGTCTCATGAAGCATATGTGTGTATGTGTGCTTGTATGGTGGACAACCATACGCTCACCTCGCTTACCTTCTCATCTAACAATACGTCATGATGACCTTGGTTGGGAAGGCTAATAAGTGTCATAATCTCCAGACCAGTGTTCAGCCATTTGGCGAGATGGAACATTTGGCACATTGTTTGGAGGGTGCAACAATTCGAGGGTACAAGGGGGTATAAGGGGATGTAGGGCACCAAGGATCAACAATTTCGTACCCCTACATCCCCTTATACCTTACAAGGGGGTATAAGGGGATGTAGGGGTACGAAATCCGTAATGCAAGGTGCAAACTAAGTCTTTATTAAAGTGTTTTGTTCCCCCAAATTGAGAATTTGTACCACTGAATCACTTTGCACCCTCTCGTACCCAAGATTTCTTCTACCCTCCGAATTATTTAGCGGAAAATTTCACCATACATACTAATAAAAATACAGATCACTTTTACAAATAAAATATACAATAAAAATATGCAATCAATACAAATAAAAAAATGAACAATTGAAAAGAAACTTGAAAATTTTAATTTTGAAGTGATTAATTTAAATTAACTCAACTAGGGTGCGGGTGGAGAGCTGCAATATGACTATAAACACGACGGCTGACTTTGAATTTTCAACTTTAAAGTCGCATGGACTTTCGAAAAAATGCAATTGAGCAAAGTAGGCCATGTTTATGCTCATTTTGCAACTTCGAATGAATTTGAATCCGATAAACATGACTCAAGATGAACTTATTGCGTGGAGAGCTACAAAATGAGTATAAACATGACCGATTTCGTTAGATTTCGAAATTTCCGGGGGTCCAAGCGACTTTAAACCGAAAATTCAGAAATTTTCAGAATCTGGGCGTGTTTTTACTTATTTTGAAGAACTTTGAATTTAAGGGTACAAAATTCACAATTCGGGCCTTTTTTCACTTTTTTTTTACGTATTGCGTTCTCCCGAATTGAGGATTTTGCACCGCTGAATCACTCCCTCTCGTATCTCGGAATTGTTGTACCCTCCGAATTAATTGCCGGAAAATTTTAAAATTCAAATTTCAAAACTCTAGAGAGATAATTAACAAATTTTTGGTCATTTTCAGTCTTGCGCTTGTAAAGTTGAAAAACAAAACTACCATATCTCATTGATTATTAGAACAAATCTGCGAAAATGTAGACTTTCGAATTGACAACGTTTAGAACTTTAAAATGATTTTGAACACGACCTACTTCGGTTAACTTCAAATTTTCGATTTGAAAACTCATGGACTTTGGATAAATTGCAATTGAGCAAAATAGGGCATGTATGTACGCATTTTGAAACTTCGAATGAATTGAATCTGATGAACAAAACAAAAGTTAAATTTACCGCGCGGAGAGCTACAAACTGAGTAAAAACATGAACTATTTTGCTAGATTTTGAAATTTCCGGAGGTCCAAGCGCCTTCGAACCAAACATCCAGACATTTTCATTTTCAGAATCTGGGCATGTTTATACTTATTTTGAAGCTGTTCACATTGAACACTCAGTAATTTTAATCACACGGCTCTAGATAGACGAATAAGAGTTATGGTCATTTTCAGTGTTTTTAATATCCTTATGAGAAATTTTCAAGACGAACATCTCATTTTCTATTAATTTTGAACTCTCGAAAATATGTCGAAATCAAATTTTTAGTCTTCAATATTTCAAGATAACTGTAAAAATCACTCATTCTGCTCTATTCCTAGTTTTCTGCAGAATATCCCAAATCCCAACGTATATGCGTTGTTCTTTTATGTCTTTTTTGAAAATTTTGCGGTTTTCATTAAACTTTTATATCATTTTGTACAGATTTCCAATTCCTTCTTCACTTTTAACTTTGAGCCTATATGTCTCATTAACGGTGAGAGATATCAAAAAGTGGTCAACTGATAAAATGTTGCTGATATTATAATAAACAGTTTATTAGTTGACAACTTATTGCTATCTGTCACAAAAACCGGAACAAATTGAATTTAAAAAACATCATGGGCCCCTTGGGGATATTCGCTGTTGTCGCTACCACTTGGCCTATCTCCTCACGCTTAAAATTTCCAAAAAAGTTGTCAATGACAATATTAAAGCTCTGGTTTTATTGCATATAGTCTGAAAATTTTTTTTAAAATTCTGCAAGTTTTGACTACTTTTGTAGAGGTCCAAAGTGGGTACAATTTGGCAAAAAGGTGTGACGAGCGCCATAAGCTCGGAATTCTTTTAGGCATTGTTCCTGAGGATACTGTAACTCATCCCACCATGATCCTTTTGAATACCGTCGTCTGACAGTATTTCAACTACCGTAGCTTTAGCTTTACTATATTCGAGATATTTTCACTCGTAGCCTACTGTATCCTACTCCAACTAATTTCAGAAATTCAGAAGCTAGATATCTTTGCCAAGATTTTACTGTCACTTTCAAACATTAAAAAAAGGCAATTAATTAAAATTTTTTATTCAATTTTCTTTGTCTTCATAGACGGATACGATCTCCAGCCGACTTCAATCTTCCGCGGTCAACGGCATCCCACGTGTACCTTCGAGTTGTGGACTGGCTTTTTCGGAATTTGAATCGGATCCAAGATCCGAAAGGTTTCCAAATTTGTCCAGAAGTCTGATCATCGGACTGTGGTGGCTGGTTTTCCTTGGAATCCATTTTTCAGAAAGGCTGGCAAGAAGGTGGTTATCTGAAAATGTGAGTTTTTGTTTTCAATTTTAAAATTCTTGAGATGAGATTAGGACAGAATTTCAGAATTTCAGAAATTCAGAATTTCAGAATTTCAGACCTTCAGTATTTCAGTATTACAGTATTTTGGAATTTCAGAATTTCAGAAGTTCAGATTTTCAGAATTTCAGAAGTTCAGATTTTCAGAACTTCAGAATTTCAGAATTTCAGAATTTCAGAATTTCAGAATTTCAGAATTTCAGAATTTCAGAATTTCAGAATTTCAGAATTTCAGAATTTCAGAATTTCAGAATTTCAGAATTTCAGAATTTCAGAATTTCAGAATTTCAGAATTTTTGAATTTCAGAATTTCAGAATTTCTGAATTTCTGAATTTCAGAATTTCAGAATTTCAGAATTTCAAAATTTCAAAATTTCAGAATTTCAGAGTTTCAGACATTAAGAATTTTAGAAGTTCAGAATTTTAGAACTTTAAATGTTCAAAATTTCAGAATTTAAGAATTTCAGAATTTTCAGAATTTCCGAATTACAAATGTTTGGAGTTACGGATGTTAGCAGAAAATTCTTTTTTTTTCCAATTTCTGATCTCTGTTTTTTTAATTCAGCCAATTTTCTAAAATTTTTGATTTTTTACTATTCTCAAAATCACACTTTCCTTTTAGTGCTGCGTAGGTGTCACCGTTATTCTCATATCCTGATGTATCTGTAGTTTTTCAATAACCTAGGTTTTCTTACATTAGATTCAAATAATTAATGAAAAAAACACAATAGTTACAAAAAACTTATCATTATTTCTGTTTTTAGTCCGAAAATCAATGCTATTTCAAATCAATTATTCAAAAAAAACCTCACCTTTATCCAAAAATCCGGAAGGATGTTAATCGAATATTAGAGAATATGCAGAAAAATCAGAAAGGAGTTCTCCAAAATCCATTCATTCTGAGGTGAACTCCTAAAAATGTTAGACGTCTATTCAGTCAAGACATCATAGGAAAGAATGAAGCTAGGCGCCTCAAACGCATAGAGTCGACTCGACTTTTTTATTTACAATGGTCGGTGTCTCTGCGTTTCTCTGCTTTTTCATACTCTCTGAGATTCACCATCTGTTGAGTCATGATGTGTATGGGTGCGTGATTGTCCACCACGTGATTGTATTTCTCACTTTACCATTCAAAAATGAGTCATGATCTACTTGATTGGGCAGGCAAACGTCATAACTTCTAGATATGGGTATAGCCATCTGAAAATTTGGCTTTTTCTGATAAGGGGTGCCCATGAAGAAGGGGGGGGGGGACAAAAAAGGATCCATACAGAAAAAATATGCTTATATGTTATAGCAAATAAACGATTGAAGCAAATTTTAAGAATTAAACATAGAAAAAGAGAAAGATCAAGCATAGAATGTTAGAGAAGCAGGGAAATTACAAAAGGTAAAAAAGTGAAATGCATTATGAAAAAAAAACTTTTAACAGGTATTGAACATTTTTAGGACCAGAAAACGGATTGATGGCAGGAGCACAAGGAGAATCACCACTGCTTTGCTGGATCGGAACATCCTTGTCTGCACTCTGACACGACCAAGACGACCAATTTCGGTGCATTCTCCCGGCTGAAAAAAAAATTTTTTTAGCCGTAGGGTTGCAGCCTATTTTATGGGCGGAGCTCATAATTTTAAGCTTAAATTTACGATTTTCAATGATTTCGAGATGCTCAAAAAACGTCTTCATGGTTTGACTGCCATTCGCAGTGAAGTTGTTCTCACAAACGTCCCTGTTGTGAGAAACTCAAGAAGACGTTTCTTAGCTTCCGATTTCTCCAATTTTTCGATGTTCTTAGCATAAATGTCGATAGATCTGAGAAGTGCGTATCACTCGCGATATTGTTGACTGAAAAAGCAAAATGTTTCTTGTTTAAATCTGGTACCCAAAACGATGCATGAAATATTTTGACCTAATTTATCTCTATTCCCGTAAAAGATATATTATGAGAAACATTTTGATAACATTTTCATTTTTTTTGACAATCCGTTTTCTGGTCCTCAAAATGTTCAAATGATAAATAATTATGAGCTCCGCCCATAAAATAGGCTGCAACCCTACGGCTCAAAAAAAATTTTTT